AAGAAAGTTTCTGGGGTAGGAGAGGGGGGATGGGATGCAGTACAGCCCGGGGGGCGGGCTGGGGGCCAGTGTACAGTGGCTGCTGCGTCTGTAGGAGGAAAGCAGGGTGTGGGGGCGCAGAGGCAGGTAAGCCGATATTTTTTGGTAGAAGGTGTGGTCGTTCTTATTTCTTAGGAAATCAGGAAGCTAAGTTATTAGCAAAGAATGAGGAATGAAAGCGTTCCCTACGAGGGGGCAAATGTGAATTTCCTAGGGATATGTAGAAAGATGGTTGCCCGTCTGAGCTGCATGTTCTTCCTCTTCCCTGCCCTCCCGCTGCTCCCTGACCTCTCTGGACCCTGACATCCGGGGAACCTGCCGTGTCCTCCCCCTCCGTCCCCACTCTTTCACAGCTGGGCTTCCGTGGTGGTGGTGGGGGCAGGGGCCTCCCTGGGTCGGAGCTTCCACCTGGCGCTGGCTTATCTCTTTGGGCATTATGTCTAGAACCACAAGGTGACACCCTGACTGACCCCTCTCTCAGTCCGCTCACTTTCTACCACCAAGCCCTGTGGCAGCCCCATCACACCTCTGCTCCGACCTGTCCTTGTAGGACTCAAGGTTTTGAGTGAAAATTGGGAAGAGTCATTGGCAAAGGCATGTTGGTGGATTGGTGGAATGCTTGTGGGTAATTCAGTGCTTCTCATGGGGAAAAACATCCTGCAGAAACAGTAAATATACACGGTTGTCAGTTTTAATACGGATTACAGAAGGCTCTAATTATAGGAGGAAAGTTGAGAGCAAGCAGATTGAATATTGTAAAGTTGCTAGTTAATGACGGCCAAATCTTAATAATAGGTGGTTTTGTTCTTGGAAGGTGGTGTCCTGAGTAAAAATGATCAAAATAAATTGGACTGCAAATAGGGGGAAAATATAGTAATGTTGCCTGTCATGAGTGTCACATTATTATAAAGGTGTACTGCTCTGTAGTGTGTGCGTGTGTGTGAACATATGTGCATTTGTGTGTGTGTATGTGCACATGTGTGTACATGTGCTGGGGAGAGTGGAGGGTGGGCGGATGGTGTTTGTGGAAGGAACTTTGAAATAGACTCAACTTTGATTTTCTTGAGCCATCAAGGTCTAACTGGCATTTTAAATTTCTTTGTTAATTTCAGTTTCCAGGCATTTACAAATATTTCTCTAAAACTCCTGCCGTGAGTTTTTGTTCCTCTTTGTTTTCTTCCCTTTTCCCTTGATGGCGTCTTGTGAATCCGATGGCCCGTGGTTCTCCTCTGCCCTATCCTCCATCGCGTTTTGGCCTAAGCTCTTCTCCTTTGGTTTCCTTGTTATTGTGAAAGTCCCTCCGTTTCCAGGTCTCTCCCCCCGGTATTCTCTCCTTTGGGGAAGGCACCCCTTGGCTGCTCTCATGGTGTCTTCATATCTTCTCCACTATTCTGTTCCTTCAGTGCAAGTGGTAAGAAAACTGGCTCCCTGTACTTTCCATAAGAGTCAGTTCTCTCCTACGCAACCCAGTTAAATGTTGGCGTCTCCAGGGTTCCATCAACGACCATTTTTCTTTGTTTTTTTCCAGGTGATCTCATTAACCCGCACAGCCATGCAGGCGGCCACTTTGCCAGTCAAGATCTCTCATAGATACCTCTAAGACATTTATTTTACTTGCTCATTGGCCATTTCCACCTTGATGTCCCACAAGCATCATAAACTCAGCATACCAAAACCTTAGATATTCATATCTCCCCTAAATTCAGTAATTTTTTCTAAATTCAGTAATAGGTTAATGTCATCAACATCTGCCTAGTCAACAAAAATGGAATCTACTCAAATGGATTCCAGAAGACAGACTAAAAACAATGTTAATTTTATTAAAGTCATTAATAAATTACCATTAAAATATGCCATATCCAGTTGGCTTTAGGAGTGAATCAATTCAACTGTCTACAGAACTGTTATTCCCCCATTTAATCCTATTCAAACTCCATTGAAAGAAAGAAGCCTCCATAATCCATTTTGAGAATGATAGCACACCACTGACTCCAAAACCTGACAGAAATGGTTCTAAATTAGAGAATTATCCTGCATATTACAAAGTCTTAAAGTAATTATTAAATAGATTTAGCATTACATTAAGAAAAAAATACACCACAACCAAGTAGCATTTATATCCTGAATACATAGGAGGGCCGATAAAAAAATATAAATGGATCAAATTAATATATAGTTGTAAAGGTTAAGGAGGCAAATTATGTAACTTATATAGGAGATACCAAAAGAGGCATTTTGATAAACATCAACATTCATTTCTAATGTTAAAATTGTTGGGGGCCAGCCGAGTGGCTCAGTTGGTTAAGAGCACAAGCTCTGAGCAACAGGCCGCTGGTTTGATTCCCACATGGGCCAGCGAGCTGCACCTGAGCTGAGCTGCCCTGAGCAGGTGGCAGGATGGCTCAGCTGGTGAGAGCACATGCTCCTAAAAACAAGGTTGCCAGTTCGACTTCCGCATGGGAGGGTGGGCTACACCCACCCACAACTAAGATTGAACACAGCACCTTGAGCTGAGCTGCCCTGAGCTGGCAATGGGGGCCGGATGGTGACCGGACTTGGAGCTGAGTTAGCTGTGCCCTCCACAACTAAGATTGAAGGACAACAACTTGGTTGTTCCCCTTCCCCAATTCCCCAATACAATCCTTTAAACAAACAAACAAACAAACTGTTGGGAAGATAAGAGCTTTTTAAAGCCACCATTCGGCTTAATAATAAAACACTAAAAATCTTCCTATTAAAACCGGAATAACACAAGGATGTTGACCATTGCTACAACGATTCAAAGTTGCAGTTGAAATAGTAGGCAGGGATGTTAAACAAGAGAAATAAATAAAATGTATAAACATTGGAAGAAAGAGTTATGTGACTTTGTGCAGATTTTATAACTAACAATCAGAAAATACAAAGTGAATCACCCAAAAAACTATAAATAAGAGAATTCAATTAAGATGCTAAATATGCATATCATGGCTGTACTCTCTATACAAATGATAAGCAATGGGAAAACACAGTGAGAGAAACTGAAGGAAGCAGCTCATTTATAATAGCAAAACAAAGTGAAACAAAAAAAGATAAAATACCTATGAATGATCTTAAAAGGAGATGTGTAAAATTTTGTAAAGAAAACTTTAAAACTCTATTGAAGGACTTAAAGGAAGATATAATACTGTAAGTGTAACCATTCTACTTGAAGTATTCTATAAATTCAATGTAACTTTTTCTGGGCAACCAGAAAAATCTAGTTTTCTTACGAGAAGAAAAAAATAAAGAAAAATAAACATGTGAGAATAGCTTGGTGAGTTCTGGAAAGAAGGTTAGAGAGTAGGGAATAGTCCCACAACATATTAAAACTCTGCCATCCAATATGATAGCCACTAGCCACATGTGGCTTTTTTGAAATATAAATTAATTAAATATAAATAAAAACTTATTTCAAGGACGCATTGTGAATTGTGGACAGAGAAACAGATCATGTTCATCACTGCAGAAGGTTCTACTGGACAGTGCTCTATCAACATGTATTATTAAACTTTAATAATGGAAGCAGTTTGGTACCGAAGAGAAAAGAGTTAAGAACAGAGAGGAGTCCAGAATTAGACCCAAACAATGCGGGAATTTATAGATTGTGAGAAAAGCTGTGTTTCAAAGACAAAGGAAAAAGAGGCTATGTTTTATATGATGTTGGAACAATTGACTAACCATTTGAAAAAATATACAGTTATATCTTTATCTCTTTATTTAAACCAATATAAATTCCAGATACGAGAAAGATTTAAAATGTAGAAACAGAACTAGGCAGAACCCCTTAATGTGCTAGAAGAAAAGGATGAGCGAATTTTTCTATACACTTGAAGTGGGGATATTTGCAATGCATATAACTGACAAAGGGATAATTTCCCTTATTTTCAAAAAGCTTGTACCAATCAATATGAAAAAACAACCAAAACTATAGAAGAAAGGCTGTTAATAGGAACTTAATAAGAAAAGCAATACACGTGGCAGTAAACATATGAAAAGATACTTAACCTCACTCACCACAAACCTCCCCCACCTCGATATTTTAGTGTGTATTTTCTACAAACAAGGACAGTCCCCAAATGACCACCAGGCCAAGCCTGAAGGCAGGAGACCACCGACAGCACAGGCTCTGCTGTCATCCCTGTGCTCCATCCCAGTGCAGGGCCCTTGGTGCTGCTCCACCACGCGGAGTCCTCCTCACCGGCTGACACCCTGCTCTGGATCTTGGCTCCCTGGCGGCAGGTGGACACAGACTGTGCTGTGCCCTGCCTGGTGGCTTGGACCAGATTGTCTGTTGGAAGAAGAGGAACTCCCCCACTCCACGTCTCCTGTTGGCTAATTTCCCTAGTTCTCAACCAAGCTTGAGAGGACTGCAAACTGCTTACACATAGTAACTATTTTGGGGGGAAGGAACTGGGAAGCCACCTTTTCCTGTGTCCTTACTGAGCAAAACGCTTTCACGAGTCATTTTGTTATGTGGAACAGATTTGAACACTGAGAATCATGGCAGATTCGTTCTTGTCCAGAGGCTTAGATTTTTAAGTTCCAGTATACAGACATATGCCGAGGTTTAAGTTAGGAAAAGACTCTAACCAAACATGGCAAAGGTCTAAATTCTCATGAAAAAAGCCACCTGTGTATGTACGCTTTACATTTCTGTGTTATTGGTGGATAGTGTGGGTGTCGGGGGCGAGTGTCCCCGGAATGTGCAGATTATTTTGAGCTGAAATTAATCAAAGCCCAACAAACTCAAGAAGAGTTTTTACTTCCCCTTCTCTTCACGAGATTCAGATAGAAACACCCGCTTCAGGAAGGGAACCTTGGCATGCTCGCTTTAAGCATTTCCACCCTGGCATCAGTCAAGAAGACTCCAAGCGTGTTTACTAGTTCCCCCCGCCCACCCCATTGTCTCTGGGCTGCCCAGCAAGAATTTGCCTATTATGTCTGTTCCTCTCTTCCTCAAGTACTGGTAAATGACCTGTTCTCACTTCAGAAATCTAACACCCTTTCCCCGGCCTTTCCTTCTTTGTCCAAAATGTCATATATACTCAATGTTGCCTCACTGTCTTCGGAATTTTCATGCATATGTGAATTCTCCATGTGCATGTATTAAAATTGGTTTTCTCCTGTTAATCTGTCTCTGTTAACTTATTACTCCAGCTAGAGGAACTTCGAAGGTGGGAGGAGAAGTATTAATTTTTTTTTTAGCCCCCACAATAGGATAGGAATAATATTTCCTTCATCATGGTAAGTTTTAAAACAATTGTTTAGACTGACCTCAGAGGTCTGTTCCTTTAATCTATGAAACAGTGATTCTACCATGTGGAAAATATTACTAAAATCAAATGTTAGCGTTTTTATTAAACCAATGATGGAATAGTATACAGAGCTATGAAACGTTCCTGTGAGATGTGAGGTAGGTGCATAATTTGTACATAAGCATCAGAGAGTCACCACATTGCCTGGCGAAGAATTTCTAACGCTGTCAGTAAAAAGTCAGCTTTAAGTGTTGCTGTCATAATCACAGTGTTATGAGCCAAAGGAGATTTTTTTTTTAAAAGAGAAGAGAGTTTCGGTGATTAGAACCTATTACGCAAGCCTAAGAGAAGATACTTCAGTATCATCAAGCTCCAGTGAAGTGATGAAGACTTTTATGAAGTCACTAGTACTTGAAGGAAGACATTTTTACATTGTAGGAAACTTTGGGTCTTCTCACAGTCTGATTAAATAGGGCAAAGAACTACCCAGCATTGGGAGAGCTGAGGGCCCCCAACAGGCAGTCCGACATTCACAGAGATTTCTAGTTGGCTTGGCTCAAAGACTGCATACGCTGACTGTGGAATGGAATGTTGATTTTAATAGATCATCTTCAACCTGTTTTACCTCTGAGTCACAATGGCTCAAGAAAAATAAAGAACGTGAAGGTATGTTTTTCTATTTTAGATGTGTGGAACGGCCTTAAACACTTTTCAGTTGTTAATTTACAAGACAATACTTCTTTTGTGTCATACGCTTCATATCAAACTATGGTTTGAATGTGTTGGGATCTTGTTCAAGTATTAACTAGGTTGATGTATGTTTATTTCACATGTTATGAAAAAAATCAATATGAAGGAATTAAAAAACTCAGTGAACTCATATTATTCCTTTAGAATAAACATTATGTGGTAGTTGTCTCATTTTGTGCTATCCTCATCTGTGAAATTAGGTGATCCTTGTCCCATAACCTGTCAATATTAACAACTATTTGTTGTTTGTACCATTCAATCTCTACTTTATACCCAACCACCCACTGTCATTATTATTTTTTTATTATAGATTTAGGAAATAATTAATGAAACACAAAATGCTAGATCAACTCACAATTACTTCCAACCTTACCCACCAAAATCCATCTTCTGGTTCCTTCTCAAAGTTCCACTCTCACAGTGAGGTTGCTGTCACATTAATACTGTTCAGAGCAACTCCCGCTGCCCCATAAGAAGGCTACTGAGAAATTTGGATGATAAGATGCTCTGTTTCAGGGCCACTCATCACATGTGCTGATAAATGCTAACAATAGCTCATTGTGTATTTCCTTGACGAAATCCACCCAACTCCTTGTCAACAGGGGAAGGTGTCAGAGAAACATACCTAGTATTGCTCACGACCTTATTTAGTAAATGAATTTGAGTGCTAGCTGTAGATTACAGTGACTTGTGCTTCTATTTATAGCTCCTAACAGATACAGCTGGTCTACCCACTCCAATTAAATCTTCTTTTAAAGAAGGTCTAATATGAAAGGGGAAAATTGCAACAAATTAACATAAAAAAACCCTCTCACATCAGCTAATGTACTTTTCTGCTTAACTAGACATTAGACAAATATTTTTGGTAGAAAGGTACTGTGGATGAACAACAATGGCCACATAACGAAACCTGACAAGCTCAGGGGAGGCCTGCATGGCAGGCTCTACAAACTCAGAGACCGAAATTAACCACATAGGATGGCCTGAACATAAAAATTACTAACTCAAAGCCGGTCATGGCTAGTAGTCACATCCTTGGCCTGTAGCTTCCATGACAAAGGTCAATCTTTACCTTAAGTGAACCTGACTATTGACTTTTTCCGCATCTAAGATAACATCCCCTTGGAATGTCAGAGTCATCCTTTTTTCCAAACCCTCAGGGCACAGCCCACTCCGCCCCAGAGCAGGGAAACTACAGAACCCCTCATTGTTGTTGTCCCCTGGTTACCATCTCTTTGTGCTGTAAAGAGCTAACTGTTAGCTATCCTGCACCCACCTGTGTGGGAGAAGTACCTGTCTCTCCAATTTACTTTTCATCTAATCCCAGAGATTTCCGCACTTTGCTTTCTCCCACCCCCTTAATCTACCACCAATGGTAACCCTCCTCCTTTGATTCTAATGTGTAAAATAAGTTATAAACCCGCCATTTTCCTGAACATTTTCTCAACCCGTTGAGATTTTGCTTCCCCGCAACTGTCAGTTTGGCTCAAATAAACTCTTATAAGCTTTTTCTTAGGCTGGATGGTTTTTTGTCGACAGTACTTTTTTTCTTTTCTTTTTCTCTTACTAGCTTGGTCACATCAATTCTAAGAGATGTCAATTCACACAGTATGAGATGGATATTTATATTAATGAAATACATGTCTAGAATATCTTCCTTTCTCCAAATTAGTTTACATTTTATTCCACACAAAGAAGATATATTTTTTTTGGATTATAAGTAATAATTCAGCATTCTTTTTGGGAGCTGCTGCATTAAAATCCTAGGAAGCTATACCAAAAAGATGGACCCCAAAGGTATGATCAGACAAAGCAGCTTAAAAGTATACAACGTGCCAAAAATAGCTAAGTAAAAATGCATAGTTATCTGTCATTTCATTTCTATACTTTGCTTGACACAACTGATCCAGTTTGCCAAGTGTGAGAGGATTCTAATTTTAACCCAGCAATCTAACAATTTGTTTTAAAGCAACATTTAGCTTCCATTTTGATCTCTGCTATCACCACTATCACTATCACCGCCATCCTGTCTGGATAGAATGGACTTTATCAAATCTAAAGAAAACCAAGTAATAGATAGAAAAAGCTCAGGGATAGCCTATGAATAGAAGCGACTTCAATTCTTTAAAGAGCTGTTGCTTTATTAATAAAGTAAAAACAAACTTTGGACGATATTATGTACAATAAGCTGTCTTGCTAACAGGATAACACTGGTTTAACTACAATGGAATTCAAATTGACTATGAAGTTATGCTGGTGCAGACAGTGGCAATATGTTAGACAACTGTGAGGAGAAAAGGAAGCACCATGGCCGTCGGTGGCCCCAAACAGGCCACTTCCATATGCTCTCCAACGCCTGACAGCTTTGCAACCCAAGTCCCAACTCCTTCTCGACGACATCCATATGGCACCCACAGATTGAGAGCTTGCCTTTTCTAAGACAGTCAAGTCTCTCGCTGGGTATTCTGTTGCACTGAATATTTGTGCACACTGACTCGTAACTTTATTGCAAAAATAAGATTATGGACTAAGGTTCTTCCATTTTCTTGAAAGAAGCAGCTATGGATCCTGACAGTCTTACACTTTAATTTTACAGAGAGACATTAGTTGCATGAATTTTAATCTACTACGAAGATGGATCAGGTTACCAGCTATGCATTATAGAGTGAGGAGCCAGAAAATAAGAAAAAAAAATACATAGCTGGGCTTGCATGCCATTGTTTCAATGTACTATTCTCACATATAAACAGAAGGGAGTTGAATTCAGTGGAAATGTTGGATACATAATGAACAAAAATGTGAACACAGGCTATTTCCGAGAATGACAATTGATTTCAGTTATTTCTCGAGGTTTATTTATTTGTTGCAAATGTTAGGCCTTACACATTCATTTCTTTGCTCATTAAACATTTGTTGGTTTCAGGTTTTGAAATTGGCATCACCTGTTCCATGTGGCAAAGATTTAATAGGCAGTGGTCATTATTTTGATTTTGGCAGAGGGAGAAGCCATAATCTAAATTATAAATGAAGGGTAAGAGCAAAAAATACTTTTTAAAAGGAGGGGCTGCTTTTTTAGCAAGAGATAACTACTACTTGGACAATAGAGTACAAAGAAGTGTGTGTTCTTATGTTACTAAAAACTGTTTTCACTTCAAGAAATTTATCTCTTTCTATGAAGCTTTTTTTTAAAAAAACAAAACCATTGATATGTTGACAAATATAATTTATTAAAGAAAAAATATAAAATCCTAGAGAAACATTCAACACAAACCAAATTGAGCTAACAAACTAAAAACCCATAACGTTGTTGGTTAAATAAAATGAAATAAAGGAGTATGACATTTCATAGCTCAGGAATAACAAAAACAAATATTAGCACCTTCTCTCAATATAACTTCATAAGAATTGATTTTGCATTTATTTCTCTCTGCATGAATCAGCTAGATCTGGATTTGAGATTACCTGTGACATAGCTTCTTTTGGGAAAACTGAAGAGACAGTTTTAGACTTTAGTCTATTCCCCACTTACATTCCTCTCCAAGGGCCTTGAAGGGGAGCAAAGTTTGGCCACCCTGACTCTGCCTTTGGGGTATTGATGTTAAGCTGGTTACTGAGAAACAACCAGAGGACTCAGAAAGAACCTTTGGCCCTCCCCTTCTTCCTGCCCAAGAGATGCAGACAGAAAGTCTGCTCCAGGAAGGGCATTTTAGGATGTTCTCCTGAGCGGCCTAATTCGAATGAAGCCTGGTAAACAGGGCTTCAGGCAGGAGCCTGTTAGCGAGATGCCCCCTGTCCCATTGCTTCTGGGTTGCCCAGCAACAATGTTCCTGCCAGGTGTGTTCTGCAATTCCTCAACTCCCTGTAACTCACCCATCTTCACTTCTGAAATCTAAGACCCCATCTCCCTTTCTTCTTTGTCCAAAATGTCATACATATGCAATGTTACCTCACTGTCTTTGGAATTTTTATGCATATGTGAATTCTCCATGCATGTGTATTAAAAATTTGATTTTCTCCTGCAAATCTGTCTCTGTTCATTAGATTATTAGCCCAGCTAGAAGAACTTAGAAGGTGGGAAGAAAAGTATTATTATTTTTTTAGCCCTCACAGTTTACAAAAACACGCGTTTTCCTCATATGTCCCTTTACCTCTCTTGCCTCTCCCTCACACCCACCGCAAGGCATAGCTTAATAACCTTGTTCTTCCTTTCTCAGCTCCTGATAACCTGCCACCGTTTTTGGCTACAGGATCTGTCTATGACCTGGTCCAGTATCTCCTAGTTCATAGATCTGTGCACTATGGTCCCAGACTTCCAGTTTCCAACGTGGGATTGGTAAGAGTAAGGGACAAGAAAAGGGGGCGTGGGAAACAGAGGGAGTGTTTTTATCTTTGTCAGTGTTTTCACCTATACATATAAAAACATGTGCATGCAGATGAATATTAAACCAAGAATAAAAGGTGAGAATTTTTGTATTGACACATATAATTTTAGGGAAAACTGAGTACTGTGATAATGCAAAGATGGATTAGAATTCATAATGGGAGAACTTGGAACCCCAAGTCTATCAGTTATCTATTAAAATATAGAAATACTTCTAGAACAAAATGACCTTGAGGCCAACCTAATGTTAGCAATCCTATCTCACACCTTTTTTCAAATATGTGCAAACACAATTATTGTCTGTGTTCATGGGCGCTTATGAATGCGATGACAAAAAAACTGCCCTTTAAGGATGAGGGACCCCCAAAGCTGTCACAGAATTCAAACTGGATATCACTCCATAATTTTAGTTTGTTTAAAGCTTAATCATGATTTTCTAAGAAATCACTATTTGTCATGAAAATAGATATTTGGTTCTAACTATTCGCATGTACAGCCTATTGTCACCTTACAGGGGTGACATTTAAACATGATCACCCCTCACCCAGTTATGAAATGTCGCAGACAACAGCACCCCGATATGATTATTGAAACATTGCATAAAACGAGCCATTTTCTGCATTCTGCATTAAGAAGGAAGAACTCTTACATGCAACAGCTAATTGACAGGTACCTTCATTTTATTTTCAAAGTAATTAGTCTGATGAAGCTACAAGACGACAACAGCATTGGGACACTGCCTGCAGTGCTTTCTGATGAGCCGGTGACACGGCGTATGTTAATAAGCCCAGGGTTTGCCAACACTGTCCTATGGATCCGGAACAAGCAGAATTCTCTTTGCCTTCAGGGCACTAGAAGTGTGGCGTGTGCGGAAACGCCGTTATTCGAGCTAATGAACTGGGGAGGAAAAACATCCACCAGAAACCCGAGGCAAACAGTTTCCTTCCTTCTCAAAGCAAGCCTTCAGGAATGATGCGTTTCATCCACGATGAGGGTGCTTCCTTCATCTCAAACTGTGTATGTAAGCTGGTGTTGACTGAGTGACGGGGTGGGTCAGTAGACAAGGAGGGGCAGAGGCAGATGAGGAATGGCAGTTAGCTCTCTGCTCCACGACAAGCTGCTGTGGAAAACAGGCAGTAGGAGGGGCTTATCCCCACGGGCACCTCAAGACTTTGTGAACCCCCACCCCCCACCCAAACTCGTGCTTTGCAGACCTCCCTCCACGGCCCATCAAACAGACTGGGCATGAAATGGTGCCCACAAATTGAGCTCTCATGGTCTGATTTGGGGTCCTGGCCTCCTAACCACTTCCTCAGTATTCTTTGTTCAGAACGCTACACAAATGGACTTACGGAGGCCCAGGTAATCTCGCTTTTTCCCAATTATTCGTGTGATTTAGGCAAAATTGCATATTTTTTAATTAATTAATTTATTTTTGTATGAATTGCTTAAATTGCAGGCAAGGAACCAATCCAAGGTCTATTTGCTAGAAGCCTCTCTAGGTTAGCTGAGCTTACCATTCTCATTTCAATATGAAAACTATCATTACAACTACTTCTCTTTGAACTCAGAATGGAGAAGCCTGAAAATTTGACAGTTGGTGGCAATTTATGTAACTTGTTCTATTACTGTTGGCAGAATGTGGGAAAACATAGGAGTGAGAATCTGAATCGGTAATATATAGACACACACATATACATATATATTTATATAATTTTTTAACAGCAGTCAAAGACAGAAATGGCAGAGTGTTGACACTGCAGAGGGACTCAGGGACCATTCACTGCATGAGGCTTTCCACCCAGAGAGACTTACTTTTTTGCCATTAGTTACTAATTAGTTTCTGACTGTCAAGGTGTCCCAGGAAGCACCCGCGTCCCACCCTCACTCCTCTCTGCCTTTCACCCACTCCCTTGGCCTTGGTGTCAGGGGAACACTCCCCTCACCAGCCTCCCATGGCCTGCTGAGCCCTGTGTCTGCTCACACTGTCCCCTCCGAAATTCCTCTCCCTTGGCTGGCGACTCACACTTTCCAGCAAGTTCTAAGTCCTGCTCCCATCCACCTCGGGTAGGCTTCCAGTGGGGGCTGGCCCACCTCTGAACTCTGCGCTGCTGAGTCTGTGGCTTGCCCTCCCCGTGCCACAAAGACACCATCTGTCTGCTCCCACAGACCGGTGCTCCTTAGTTATCAAGGAGTAGAAACAGCAACTAACATTTGTGATATGATTTGGGTTCATCGGGCCTTTGCATGCATTTGACCCTCAGAGAGACCCTCGAGGAGGTTCAGATCCCAACTGACACACATGAAAACAGAAATAGAACTGGTCCCACATGACAGGTGACGTGGTAGAGCTGAGGCTGGGCGTCCGTGTGACAAGCTCCGGGGAGCTGCATCCCCCAGAGTATGAGGCCTTGGCTTCCTCCTCTCTGTCTCTGCCAAGGACCTGTGACCCTGGGGAAATACTGGGCAGGAGGGAGGTAAGAAGTCGGGGCGTGACCTGGGTGGTCTACCCCATCCCATGCCCGAAGGCCATGAGGGGGGCCTCTTTCTACAGCTAGGTCCCCGCTACAGGGCCAAGGGGGGCTCTTCTCGGCCCCACAGTTCTGTTCTTAGAGGGATTGGGACATACGTGTATACCTGTGGACGGCAGGACTAAGAAAGATCCAGCTGAGAAACTTGATTTAGATTTCCTTTAACATTTATATGTACTATTAAGAGTTTAAAAAAATATATGTACTCTAATGAAGTGGGAAAATGGGTTTGTGATAAACTCTTTCTGTAAATTAAACGTTTTTACTAATTTTGTTGAAGTGTTCATTTTTTTCTTAATGTTGCTTTTAAAAATATTTCCCCATACGTTTCTGTCTCTTTAACTTTCCTTATAATTGTTTTACAAATTACAAGGTAAGAAACAATAAATATCGTTTACAGAAACTCATACTCTACAGACTGTTCGAGAGCCTGGTCCTGGGAGGGTTAGAACTGTGAAGAGGGACTCAAGGAAGACGAAGCTGATGGGTGGTGGGCCCATGTTTGCTGATCCCGCCCAGACTGTGGGTTCTGGGAGCTGGCAGTGGGCCAGTGTCGGGGTGTCAGGGCACTCAGGACAGTGGGGACACCAGGGCAGTCCCCATCTTCCCAGCACAGTAACCTATAAGAACAGAGTGACCACCCATCTCCCAGATTTAGCCCTTGAAGTCCTACTTCCTGGGAAACTTCTCAGTCCCAAGTAAACAGGGATGGCTGGCCACCCTATTACAAAGCAACCCAAAACAGGACTAGTAAAAGAACGTTCAAACTATGGAAGACTTGTAGTGGTTGGTGGTTTATCCATTATTATTATTATTATCAGGTGTCCTCACTTTGAGCATTATGAGGTTAACGTCTGACCTCACTTGGAGCAAAGAGTCCTGCTCCGGTCCTACCAATACATCTGGAATCTGCTCATGAAATTCAATCTTCCCTGCTCTCCTACTCATGGCCGTGTGTTGTTCGGAAAGTATGCATGCACTGAGAAGTATGTGACACGTGCCCACGTTCATGCCCTTGGTGGGTGAAATCCAAGGTTAACAGTATTTGCCTGAGAGTGAGGTCATACAAATGCTATAGATCATGGAATCAAACATCACATAGACAGTAGGACAGGGGGTGTACATGCGGGCGCGTCTGTGTGTGTGTGTGTGTGTGTGTGTGTGTGGACTGTAGGGTCTTTTCCGTATTAGAAAAAACAAAATTAGCTGTCTTATTCTTTTCTATTTTTAAAAATAGAATCTATATGTAGACTCAGAACTGGTAAAGATAAGTAGAAGATCCCCCTGTTTCTTAGTCTTTATAAAAGCAAATTTCTTCCCTGGCTGCCCTTCCAAGTTTACATCTCTGACAACATTTTAATATTAAAATATGAACACTGTGATTTTCTATTCGTTAATGGCCAAATGTTTTATATGCTTAGGCAAGTATATGTATATATATATACTAATAAGGTATATACTAATTATATATATATCATGCCATTTAACATTTAAAATGTTGGTACCATTGCTATATACAGTAATATAACTATAGACATATACTAGCTATAATACACACATATCCCTAACTGTATAATGTGTGTGTACACACATATGTATGTATACACATATGTATGTACACACACATGTACGTGTATGCAGACCTCACAGGCCAAAGAACCACATGACAGGGAGGTGTTAGGAGCCTGAGAGGCACCCAGCTTGTGGCTGAGGTGAGGCCCTCTGGGCTACACCACTTGGTGTGAGTCCTGGGTCTGCCATTTTCTCCCTTCGTGACCATGGCCTAGATGTCTGATGGCTCAGTGCTTCCTCATCAGCCAATGGGAATAATAGTGGCTCCTTTATCGGGCTGTTAGGAGCCGTAAGGAATGAGACACACACAGCGCAGCTTCCTTCTCAGCACGCTGGCTGACAAACCCCCAGGGAGACTTCAGTCCCGTTGAAGGTCCTGTGATGAAAGCGGATTACAGTTGCCGGTGGATCCAATGCCAGGACCAGACTGCAGCTCAGCTGAGGGCAGGAAACGTCTCATCACTCAGTCCTTTAAGCTCTCAGAATGAGGTCGAGTGCGTGTGATATCACCAGTGTTCATGTCCTTATTCATTCAACACATGCCTATTATGCCCTTACTACTGCCCAACTGTGTGGCAGGTGCTGCGGTGTCACTGTCACCAGTGAGTGTGGCACACACTTCCTGCAGCTCAGTGCTGAGGCACGGTGGGCTCTGCGGCATCCTGGCCCCACCCGCCCCCACTGTGTGTCCTGGGGTAAGTTCCTCAATATCTCTGTGCCTGACTTTCATCATTTGCAAGGTGAGGACAATAACGCCGTTCAGCTGACGGAGCTGTGAGGACTGTGTGATGAACAGTTTACATACCCGGAAACAGGAAGCGAGCTCAGAGCGAGCGCTCGTGCGTGCTAACCACTACGGAGATGGGGCTAGTGCTTATTTTCTTGTTACAATCTGGTACTTGCCGCTGTGTTTTGAACAAATGATTAATGAACCACCTAACTCTGAAAATAATGTTTTCTAATGTACTCAGCTATCTTGACTCCCTATATGAGCAAAAAGGCATTTCTCACAATCAAAACAGATAGTATGAATTATACTAAAATACTAAAACTCATTTTAATGAATAAATAATTCCTCTCATTTGGTCAAAACATATGCTACATTGAAAGACCAGATAAAAATGGCCGTTTCAATAAAGAAAGTGTATTCCTGGATAAAAGTTTTTCCATTCATTCTAATTTCCCTTGAGACATTGGCACATAGCATGGAGCTGGGAGAGAGTCACAGAGAAATACACTTTCTTTGCAATATTAATAAAGTCTATCTTTGTCCAGTGGCTTTTAGGTTTCAAAATGCTTAATAAGGCATCATAACTTTGTGTTTTTTACTTTGTGCATCTGACATGGACTGGACAGCTAGTCTTTTTCATTCCATTTTGATGTGGCTCATTCTATGTTCCTTTGAAAGATAAGGTAGCCCGTGCTCTGCGTCCTTCTCTTGACAGTTCCCGTAAAATAGAAGAAAGAGAGAAAATTTAAAATAAGAATAGATAATAGACACCAGTTTCCTAAGGACAGAAGGTGAATGGGACTCTATTTTGATGATAGACCTCTACACAAAGGTGCTTACAGGTGGTATTTTCTTCCTCCTTTATAGCTAAGGGTGATTTCAAAATAGATCTGCGCACCTGAAAGCCCTGAAAATGTCTGCAAGAGATGAGAACTGATTAGCGCTGATGGAGAAGCAGTTCTTTTTTTTGACACTAAACATGGTCATGTTTATTTCAAAATGTAAAGTGGACTCCATATTAACAAATACTTTTAACATTGAATGTAGAAAAATGACTGTGCATGTTCTAGGAAGACCGTTTACTAAGAATCAGGGCAAAGGTAGTCTTTCACCTGTAGGCCACTGATAAAACAATCTAGGAGTAGGAACAGCCTCATGGATATCGTGTGGTCTTGAGGGAGGGAAAGAGAAGAGTTGATAAAATCGGGAAGAATTTTCTACTCTCTTTTCCTCACTAGGGCCTTAAAATAAAAAATCTAAAATTGAAAACTACACCATCACACACATCACTGGTTTCTTTCTCTAATCTTTTGGATTAGAATCACTAGTTAGTGGCCACAGTCAAAAGCTGGAAAAAGGTACCCAGTATGAATCTAGGTCATATTACTCTGGTTGGTAATGGTTTCATGAGGCTCCTTGGGGTTCAAGCAGGAGCTGCCACAGTTTATGCTTAAAGCTCAGGCACAACCACAGTATCATTAGGTGGAGAATTGAAGGTACTGAACGATGTCAACAGCCCGCCTCCTCTAGCGCTGTCTAGACTTCAGTCCTTCCGGTGCTCTTTGTATAAACCTATCATCCAAACTGCCTGCCTATGGTGCGGCCCCTGTACCCTCTGGAGCTGGGGTTGAGGAGACACATTAGCCAGGCAGCTACCAGGCCTCTCACTCATGGAGAGAACCCATTAAGGGAACCCATACGGCCACTTTTTTCTGCAAACACTCAAATGAAACTATCTCAAATATTTGGAGTTCCTTGTCCTAATTATAATAAATGATAGAGAACTGCTTCAGAAAGGGACAAAGATAGACCCTTCTCAGATCAGCCTCAAGTGGGAGCGGAAAACGCCAGCCCTCGGTGCCTTCAGGGAATGGAAAAGATCCTTCCTTGGCTACTCCTTGCTTCCTTAGGTCTTTTCTCAGAAGACGTTACTTTCCAGGCTATAGTGAGTGAAAGAAGTTTTCAATCCAAAAGCCACCGCTGCAGCTCTGGCTTTCAGGAAGTTTCTGGATGGCTTTGATCCACTCAGTGCGCTCCTTGGCGGTGGCCGCTTGCAAGAAATAGTGAATTTCATCAGCCGTGATGATCTCAGAGAGGTTCTCTTCTTCACTTGCCATCTGAGTTGCTCTCCACTGAAGTCACCACACAGCCTCTCAAGCGAATCGCTCCCAGAGGGTCTTCCCCCCAGCAGGGTCATAGTAGTGCAGATTGGCAGGATCTTCTCTCAGAATGAACTTCCTCACTTTCCAGTTTTTCCTCCTATGGCCCTGTTTCAGTAAACATCCCTGCTTGATAATGACCCCTCTGAATTCTTCTTTCAGAATAATATCATCATCACTGGAATTCTCTTCACAGAAGAACCCACTGTCTGGAAAGTAGTAGAAGCATCAGGGTTGTCCAGGAAAGGATTGTCAGCAGTTCCACCCACTGCACTCTTAGACAGGCTGCAGGTACCCTTCATGGAGCTGCGACGAGGCAATCATGAAGCCTTCCTGGCGATTCCGAACAGACTGGTTGGAAACCAGCCAGTCGAAGACACAGTTACCTGTGAAGCAGTGATTAAAAATCTTCTTATCCTTCTCTAGGTTTAGTTCTTTTATTCCTTTTTCAGTATCGTTCATGGATAGATACAAAGCACCTAAGTCAATGGTTTCTGGCAGTCGAATGGGTCTCCTGGTGGATTTTCTAGCAAACTTTTGGCCTCCTTCAATGCATTTAATGGCCTTCTTGATGTCCCGAACCCAGCAATCTCTCTCTTCCAGGAAGGCTGCCTGGAAGAAGTGGTCCTGCTGTTTGGTCGTAGTGATCTTAAACACAAACATCCTTTT